TCACAGTGTCACCATCGGACTCGTCTGTAGAATAGTTCTCAAATGAAGTGTCAGAACCACTGTCATGGTCCAAATAACCCAGGCCTCCTTCAGGCAAAACCTCATTGACCTGTTTTGGTTCATCTGAAGAACAAATTGATTCAGAAATTTGACCTTCAACGTTTTCTGCTCTTTCAACTGGATGATCCAGTTTAGAGCTCGTGTGGTTTTCAATACCATACTCGTCCTGCAGTGTTGTTTCTTGCTCTTCCTCTGAGTGAATTTCATTAACAGGACGCTCGTTAATGTCTTTTTCTAAATGTTTTATAGAAACGGAGCTTTCTGCTTTGTTTTCTGTGCCATCTTGTGACTGATTCAGAGAAGGTCCACAACTGACGTGAGACGTACCAGCATTAACCTCAGTAGGCTGCAATACACACCTTTCTTCGGGATTCTCTGCATGATTGGAAAGGACTGTCTGTAGGGACTCCACGTCTTCGTTCTTCTCACGATCTAGATGCCTTACGGAAACAGAATCCACAACGCCATCGACTGACTGGATTTTCGTTGGACCTTCGTCATTGTCTTTCTTGTCTGAACTTGTTTTACTGCTTCTTGATTCTCCGTTGCCCTCAAAGGGCGCAAAGGCAGAAGATTCTTGGTCCCTGGGGTCACGTTCATTTGCAACACGTGTCCTGTTTGTGGCGATTTCTTCCTGATGGCTGGATTGTTGCAAATTTTCAAATTTGGAGGTAGAGTCAGCACCTACACCAGAGTTGTGGACCTGAGCAATTACTAATATCGAATTTACTTTGCGGGGACTTTTGCGCCTCGCTGCAGAAAAGGAGTTTTCTTCATCTGAACTGCTTTCACTCCCGTCATACGTTCCTGTGCGTCCTTGGCTCTTTAGAGGAGGGCTAGAACCCGATAAAGATTTTCTGGAGCGAAAAGGTTCCTTGCCTTTTTTGCCTTTGGCAGTTCCAGGACTCACTTTAATCTGCAAAGGAAAAACATCTGCCAGTTAGATTGTCAACAAGAGTATGTAGGTAGCAACGCCATTTTGAGATCGGTTTTTACTGACTTCGATAACACTTGCGGTAAGTAAGTGCAGAAAATACAATTGGTTTTAAATAATTTTCCGAAATGCCAGCAGGCAAGAAATAATTTTGAAAAGTGAGGACTGTTTCGATGTATTTCACTCGACTTTTACGCTAACGGGTTCTGTGACTGACGATGGATGTTGCTCACCCCAAAAAGGTCTATAAAAGTCAAAACTTTTCTCAAAGTTTTTATACGAATGATAAAAAAAAAACAGACCTTGGATGGGGCACTTGTGGAAGGAACGACAGTGTCGAAAGCAGAATGAAGAGAAGGCGTCAAGGATGGGACAGAAGCAGCCTTGCCTCCAATAGGCCCTCTTGGTATCAGCCTTTCTCGCTTTCTTCTGAAAGTTCTAAGTTGTGATCTAGTGATATTCACATCAGCTGCTTTCCATACGTCATGGCATATCACCTGATGAACAAGGATTTGAAAGTAGCCACCGATGGCATCCAACCAGTCCAGCGCATACTCTTGGAATGGCTGACGCCACTTTTGATCCCTAGAAAACAGAACAATCTGAATAATTAGCAATCATCCACAATCTTTACCAATCAATGAAAACAACCTTGTCAGCACTATAAAAGCACTATATGAACATAGAAACCTGTGGAATTACAAGGCAACCACTATTAATTGTCAAGGAAACTACCAGGTAATTGCTTCAACCTGGAAAGTGTTTTAATTTCAAGCGATCAAAATAACTCCTTTCCTTAGAACAGCATCTATCAATCGCAGACGATTACCGTACAACTCACATCTTTATCACCGACGTTTATATCAAAACCACATTTCAACAACTACGACAAACCATTTGAAAATATTATGTAAAACAGGAAGATGTTCAAAGTTCCATGTCTNTCCATGTCTCGTCCTCTTGCTTTGATAGAAACGTACAAGGGGTTTTCACATGACGTCACCAACATTCAAACTAAGAAACTATCGATTCTTCTGAGTTTCTACTTTCATGAGGCATTACGTCACCTAGAAACCTTGGCTTACACACATTTTCGGTTCCAAAGGGTTCTTCGTTTTGCGATAGAAGACACTTGAATTTCCAGGCTTTTTAGTGACGCGGACTTTAGGTGGCGTTTTAGGTGCCGTCTTATGTGGGTTAAAAACGTTACTGATTTTTTGAGATTTTGCTATCTACACGTTCCTTGTCTTAGAATAAATATTACTTTAATCTTTATGAGTTCCTCAAGCGATAAATTCACCCATAAGTAGGAAAACTAAAAGAACAGATGTTTCTGTTGGTTTCGGGCGGCCATATTTGCGCACCAAGATGGCGTCTCCATTCAAAGCCTCATAAATTTGGGTAAAACGTTTTTCCGAATATCTGGCATATGAATTATCGCACAGACCTGACTCTTGGCGAGGCTTTTTGTATATTTGTCTTCTTTCATTTCCCAGATTCTGGACTTTCTGTATTTATTTTTGATGGCGTGACAGTGAGAAAACAGAATTAGTCTGGATGGTGTAGATGACCAATTTGCATCAAGTTTTTTCCTTATAATCCTTGAATAACAACGCAGCATTCTTCTGATTGGGTGCGGCGCATATTGGTAACTGTGCTTCAAGCTGCCGCGTTTAATCGATTAAATACGGTACTCAAATTTAGTTTCTTTGCGTGACCACTCCGTGAGAAAAGGAATAAAACACTTGGTGATGTAATACCAGAAGAACAGTTAACTGAAACTGGGAGCCCATCACTCCAGAGATTCCTGGTTTGGGTCACAGAGGTCTAAATTTTCAGTCTATTTATAGATCCAGCAAAAAGGTCTCTGTCAAGTTTTAAGAGTTTAACCGGTTGCAGAACGTGCTCGCAGGCTATAGAACGTGAGGATAAGTAGCTTTTGGTTAGGACAACAATAATCAACGCAAACCTGCACAACTGTTTAAGAACATAAAGAAATCTATAAAAGACGGAATGCCTAACACGCTGCGGCTGATCTGAGGTTGTGCTTGAGTCAGCGTACCAGCGTAGCGTCAAACAGCACAATTAGACTATTCTGGGGGACAAATTGTGGCCCCGAATCTTATGCAACTTCGTAAGAAGTAACGGCGTCTCCAAAGAGTCCCACAATGCAATTCGACACAACACTGAGCCAGTCTCTGGTTCAACCTCAAAATGGCCTATTGGAAGAAGACGGAAGTGGTTTACCATTCATAAAAAGTCCCGCTTGGAAAGCAAATGAAACACGACTTTTCGGGTGGTTTCCACGGAAAATTTCCAGAGCGGCAGAACGACTGAAAAAGTTGGTTGTTTAGCATTTACAGGGGCAAATCGGCCCACGGTTGAGGCAAATGGTATACGCAAACTTCTGGACTGGTAAATTTCGTCCCGGAATTGCGTTAACCATTTGTACAAATAAGTTCCATTTACCGGAAAACAACCTCGAAGGCCTGAAACTGGTATCAAAGATGGCTTTGAAGAAATGCGACTCGAATTTTCGTTTGGAATATTCCGTCCGGAAAAACAAGCCTACCTTTCACTTTCCAACCGGATTTTCCGGAAACTTTTTGTAAATGGTGAACAAGCGTTAAGTCCTGTTTACGCGGACGAAATGTTCCAAACGGAAATTTGTGTTCCACTTTTCACACCCACTAGAACCGATCAGTTTCAGGCTTTCCTAGCCGTTTTTTCGGTAATGAAACTGACTGATTTGTGCAAATGGTAAACGCGTTTTCCGCAGGAAATTTACCAGTCCTGAATTTTGTGTCCATTCACTCGAATCGTGGACCAGTTTGCCCATGTAAATGGTAAACAACCGGGACCTCCTGGCGATCCCGGCTCTTGAAAAAGACAATCGTTTATGATATCTGCTGGCCAGAAAATTCTCAATGTACCTGAACGGAATAAACTTTGCCCACTTCTCATCCAAGTCAGACAATCGAAATGCCAAACACAGCATGTTAGGATCCACAAGATCACGCCTGCATCTTCGACGCGGACTTTCACAAAGATGTACGATGTCTGACATAAGCAAGGAATAAAACTTGACCGCTGCAAGCTTCGTGATATCAAAGACGCTAAAATAAAATAATGAACAGTTAAATAGTTTTTACTTGTCCAACTTGTTTCAGAATTCAAAGTCAATCAAACTTAAGGTATTATTCGCACCATTAAGAGGGAACAAAATTCCCGCACTTTTCTGATGTTAAAAATGAAAAAATTCCAAGATCTTAAACCGAGAAATTTACTGTTAGTCAAATGCTTCTAACGAGAGTTTGTAAATTTACCTTCAACAACAACAACAACAACAAGTTTATTTCAAATTAAATATAGCTTACAAAGCTTGTGCCCGCAATTAGCGAAGGCTATTCGAGGCGGGTACGAGAGAAAAAAGAAAATTGTATAAATATATATATATATATATGTTAAACGAACAATCCTAGTAGCAATCTAGTTTGTCGTGTGGTTTATAGCCAGAGTGAGACAGGAAGGCAGACTGTACTTCATACGGAAGTACACCATGTTACGATTTTGAGAATTGCCCTGTAATATCAGAAACTCTAATATAGTCGTCCTCTTTTTCCAGTATTTCAAAGAGTTTTCTCTAACCCCTATTCCTTGTAAAACCGTATTCTATGACACCTATATCCGATACAGTTGTACCATTCCAAGGGTCTTCCAGTAGCCTCCCACGCAGACGTAAGTACGTAGGTACGTAAGTGAGTGAGTGAGTGAGTGACTAGTCATTACAGAAGTAGTGTGAACCGCGACAAAGCGCAACTAACCTGCAGAAGGCTATTCTGTAATCTTCATAATCTTTGACCTCTTGGCGAATATCCATGATAACGTTAAGCAGAAGCTGGGGCGGAGAGCAGTTTCTACCTAGATCATCTGCAGCAATGACCTTACGGCGATCATAACGACCCTCTATCTCAGTCTGGAAGGAGTTGAAAGGACAGAATTTAATCTGAAAAGCTAGCAGACTGGATTCGTTTTTCATTAATGAATCAAAAACAATGAGAAAGGAGAGTTTTCGCGCCTCGTTCATTGTTAAACAAAATCTTTGCTTTGATTATCAAAAAATAAATGTTGAAGTACGTCATTTATTCAAAATTACAATGATGGGCGAAAGTCCTTGGGCAGTTATGCAATATTCGTAATAACTCTAATTTCAGGATGCTTTTAAACAGTGTTTTTTTTACTAAATACTTTGCGGTTCGTCCTCCCCCACATCACCCTATGCAATGTTGAAAATCAGGACAAATTATGGAGACAAAAGATCATAAGAGCTCTTTCGACACCGCTAACAAATCTGACTCTGTCGCAACAGAAAACCAACCAACGTTAACCCTTTGAAACCTAAGATCAAAATTGCTATTCTCATTTGTTATTCCTATTCATTTCCGACAGAAGTAGTGGGGAGAAGTTGATAAAATATCCAGTAAATTCATTTTGTGTGATCACGTCCGTAATTCTCATGACCACTCTGTTTTACAAAGCATTGATTTTACAAGGAGAAATTTGATGCTGATCACTCTTAGGGCTTGAAGGGTTAAGGGGGCTGTGTAACGCCTGTCTAGTTCGTTCGTTGATAATGTCAATTAAAAGTCCCTCTTCGCAAAGAAACTTAGCCTTAATAGCGATGAAAGTACTTGCAAATGCATGACAAGAGCACTGGTCATGTCAAACTCGTATGTCTTCCCAAGCATTATATCAAACTTTACACACAAAAAAGATGAATTAAAAAAAAACTGTTAAGTTCACAAGTTTTCAAAAACCACAATTACAATCCGTTTTAATCTTCGTCCTAGCCTGCGTGGCAGGCGTTAAAAAGGGAAGGGGAAGGGGGAATTTTCCCCTTTCCCTTCCCCTTTTAACACCTGCCACGCAGGCTAATCTTCGTCAAGTCTGTCCGTTCAAGCATTCTTTGTTTTTGCTGTGTTTTACACCTTTGTTGAATGTTGTGAGCTATAAATCATCCTCAAGTTTCGCTTAATTTCAGCGGTGATACAGTTTCTTCAATAGCCGCCAGTAATAAGAACTGCAAGTTACCTCGATGCAAGACGCCAGGAGATCTTCAAGGGGTTCTTTAGGCAAGTTAGAGGTAAAGTCCATAGCCATCTGCCTTGTGGAAAATACATCACGGAATTGTGATTGTAGCTGTATGGCTGATTCCAGGCACAACTTAAACAAAGCGACAAGTTTTGGAACACCGTCCTCTGGTCTGTTTTGAGGGAAGATCTTCCTCATACTAGCTAAGGAGTATTTGGTTTTTCCAAGCAAATCTGACAATATGGACAGCAGCATTTTGAACTGTTGTAAGAAATAAAGGAAAGTTAAAACGAATTACAAAAATCAATACAGCTGGTTATAGATAGGTACTCAATAATTGACTAAATTGTGTAACTTACCTCTTTCTCAACGTAAATTTCTGGGCATTTAAACACGTGATCCATGACGTCTTCCACACAATCAGTCACGTGTGTGATGTACCAAAGTTTATTCTCCAGGTATCTAATCAAAGAAGTGGGTTAGACTTACGATGCTAAAACGAGACGTGGATTTAAAATGAACCAGTCAGAAAAATTCCGATACTGGTAACTCGGAAAAAAAAAACAGCCCATAGTTGGAATATATAACCTGTTCACGAAGCCTGTGGAACTCTTTACATTACTCGCAAAGGATAATAATTACAACTTATAATCTTAGTACATTACTTTGTTTAACTGCACGACTAGGACGTAAGGTTAAGCAAAGACGACAGTGACGGCAAAGGGAAGGGCAAAAGATTGGCGAAACAACAACTTTGAACGTGCATCACGTTTTTTTTTCTTGCCGTCGTTGCACGTCTATTACGTGAAACGTCCTATTTTCTCGTTTTGTGGAGGACATGAACACAAAACAACAATTTTCATTTTCTTTCCCTGAACTTCGATACAATCCTTAAGAAAGTTCGCCATTATTTGTCGAATTGAACAAGATGGAATAAACGCAACAAAGTTTGAAGCGGCGCGAATTCTCGTTTAAAGTGACGTTTTTGAATCAGTCGCCGTTGCTTAAGCTTCCTAATACTACCCAGGCACGTAGCCACGTACCCTCGCCGCCACTTAGCCGCGCATCCACATGGCCGAGTAGCCGCGCAGCCACGTCGCCGAGTAGCCATGTAGCCACTTTGCAGCGAGGCCAGGCCACCGCATAGCCATGTATACACTCATACGTTATGAAAACACAGTACCAACTACTAACCAGTATCTATTCGCGACACTTATGTTCACTTACAATTTTAATCATTTTATATATGTTGTGGTTCAATTTTATACTTGGTTTAAACTTTATTTTCCCTAATTACTACACCCAAAAACAAAAGAAAATAAAATTCAAACCAAGGATATGGCTGAAACCACGTGCGGACTAGATGAAGTGAATCCTCTGATCTGATTGGCTACCCGAACGGGCAAGATGGGATGATCTTTTAGCCCATGTAATAAATCCTTTATTGACCAGGCTTGTTCGGTCAAGATGGCTGGATACTAACCCAGCTTTTTTGGTACTTTTATTGACCTAATCTGGGTCCATAAAAACGCCAACAAGAACTTGGCCCATATCCAGGCATCTTGACCTCATCCTTGGTCAATAACGCATATACACGGACAAAATTGACCATTTTCGAGTTGCCCTCAGCGTCTTTCTTTAAAATGAAGGAAATAAGTAATTCACATGAAAGTTATTCTCCGGGATTTTCTCAAAAAACTTATTCTCACATGATAGGAGTTTTGCAGTTTGAACTCACAAATAGCCTGTTTTGGTGGAAACTTTGCCTGAGAAAACAGCCGACATTTGGTTTCCCCGCCAAATGACGTCTGAGAAACGACCGCAGAAATTCCATACTGATGACGCGTCACTACCCAGATCTGGATAGTGCTTCTGATTGGTCGAGCCGCGTGGGAAATTTGATTCAACCAATCAGAAGCGCTACCCAGATCTGGGTAGTGAGGCGTTATCAGTATGGATTATCTGCGCTCGTTTCTCAGACGTCATTTGGCGGGGAAACCAGTGATGGCGTCGCCAAATGTCGACTGTTTTCTCAGGCTAGTGGAAACGTAGCTTCTATAATTGTGCGTTACATGATCTGAGTTTAAATCACGAGTTTGCTACTTACTTAACAAGGTATTCAAGGTAACAAATTTTGCAGAACAACAATCCAATTCCATATCTGAGCTCAAACTCTTTCAACAGTTTGCAAGCTGTAGGTGATAAAGGTTCTGTTGGCGTTACCCCACCGTGTACTGGATGAGGTTCCTTGTGTTTACTTTCAAACCTGTCATGAAAAGAATAAATCACATATTATATGACTCTTCCACCACTTAAAACAAGATTGCCCTTGGAGCGCTTCCTAGGCCACAATGCTATGGTAACTAGGCTAACTAAGCACGCAAATCTTGGTGGTGACATTCAACACGTGAGGAAGTTAGAGTGTATAAAGGGGAAACAAAAAAGTCTACGAAAGAGTTCAACTGATTTTCACTCTATGTGACTCCTTTTCCTTTGCTTTCAATGTTGATAATTATCATCTTATTCCTAAAACAGTATAACGCTGAATCAAGAATGATTGGATTCAAAGGGTAAATGCTAAATCAAAGCTCATTTACAATTCCATGGAAAGTAGGATGTGTCTAACTATTCCTCAGTGCAATTACGACTCAACTCTGACTTCAACCTATTGCTAGTGAAAAACAGCCTTACAGGAAAATAAACAACTTTCTTTTTCGCAGTACAAGCCTTTAACCCTTTAAGCCCCAATATCCACATACAAATTCTCCAAACTGATCTTCATACATTTCCTTTAACAATTAGTTGAGAGAATTAAAAAAAACATCAAGGCATTCTCTCTTTCACGATCATTTTTTATATTCTCACAACCTTATCTCTTGACAATGTACGGACATTGTTAGGAGAAAATTGCTGTTGGTCACTATTGGGACATAAAGGGTTAAAGCAATCCTCACCTAATAAGTCTTTTCATCAAATCAACGTATTGCTCATGGTACTCACTGCCTAATGGCAGTTCAGTCACAGATGGATAAGAATTGTGCCAGAAACTTTTGATCAGACTGTTGATCTTCTCTTCCTCCAACCTGACCCATTCACCATACGCATCCTTGTTCATGAACGCCTGAACACTGTAATATGGATGATGGTTACGCTTCAGCACTAACTTCTGATTCTCCAACTCTCTAACCAGTAGCTATTGTAATGAGATTTCAAAATGAACTGTTACTTAATTCACATTTTGACAAATCTGCAATCAGATACTACTGAAACAGACTGGCCCCTGGTCAGGGGGGGGGGGGAGAATTGCCATATACGGGCTACTTAGGTATGTGCCGCTGTGAAGGGTAGGGTTTTCAAGCAGTTTACTCGGGATAGGGTATATAAATCCGAGAGTTTGGGTTCAGAATAGGGTATCATTTGCCAGGAAACTGATCAATTGGTTGGAGATTTTAGTCTAGACTAGGGAAACCAGGAACTGCCACTCAAAAATATAAAAAAATCAAATCGGTTTTGTTTTGGCTAGACCGTGCTAGTGACCTCAGTAGTTTCTGGAAAACAGGTACTCTAGGATGGGGGAGGGCGGGACTTGGTGAGTTTAGCGTAGTATAGGGTAGCAAAATTCAGCTGAACTAGCTCTGGTATAGGCTAAGGGTTCCAGGGTCTCAGTGGCACACCCCCACCCAAACATTCCTAAAGTACCCCCCACCCCCCACAGCAGAGCACAGCAGAGCACACATGTTCTTGGTTGAGCAGGCGTTTGCAGGGAGGGAAGAAATACGAGCTCCCCTAAAAACGCGCACTGGGAAGCTACATGTAGATGGCTGGCTCGTTCTGAGGAATGGTAAGGTGACTTGCCTGTTCCCTTCAGTGCCCATTGGGCAATTAAACTTTAAAAGTTACTTTTCCAGCAAAAAAATCTACAAGACCCGGATTACCCTTAAAAGATTACCCAAACGGAATATTTTCAAGCCTAAAGAGGTGTGGGAGTTATTTGCTAGTTAGCCAAGGCATGTTCGTGAGCACTTATCTTGGAGATTGCCTATTCCAGTCAAAATTTTTAACTGTGGTTTTCATCTTTCACTTCAGTTTTCATCTGAGGTGAATCATGGAAATTCAAATCAATGCACTGTATTTACCAATTGAGGCTCCTTTGCCAAAGGAACGAGCTGCGGTATGATGGTTTCACTAAAATACTTCTGTTTTATCTTCCTTAGCGAAAACACATTCCTGACCAACTCTTGAAGCTCGTCTGATAAGTTTGGCAAAAACACATCTGGAGAAACAGGGCCATCAGAAGATGATGCCACATCTTTGATTTTTGCATCAGAGGTAGCAGCTGAGCTGAAAATTCAATATGCACCACAAATATTAATCTCAAACACAACCATTAAGAAGCACACAAACAAGTCATTCGCAACAAATTTCATTTCAACATTAGAATAATTGAATATGCACATTTTTTTAATTTAAAAGAAACGATTACTTACATCGTTTTTAAGGAAACCAACCGCTTACAATTATTGTCTTTTACAATGTAACTAACAGGCAGCTTCACAATAGGGCCATCTATAGGACGATTTCTTCGTATAAATGGCCCTAATGTCATCCAAAAGAGTCCGCTGTTAACAAGGATTCTTAAGTAGCAAATACTTATAGAGTGTGCAATTAACTGGTAGAATATCTGATTCCAATGCAAACTAAGGGTGTTTGTGACAATTCACCTCACTTTATAAACTTTGATATATACTTCGATATCATCATTCAAAAATTGCCTCTGTGTGAAATATTGGCCCCAGTTGTTTTACTGTAAACAATGGTTAGAGCTATTCACTGGATAAATCACAATGCAGTGGATAACTACAGTATTAGGGAAACCAATAGGCTAAGCATTATTTAGTGGATAGAAATTAAATGCAGTGAATAGCATTTTCCCCCCTTTAAAAAACTGAGGCCTGGAAGCTAAATATCTACTTCAAATATAATTGAAATGTGTTAATGGCTATAACTGTGAAAAATAAATGTATGTGAAAAACAAACAAATTTACACTTTTGACAGTGTTGCATATTAGTTAACAACCAGCTGTGAAATGGTATCTCCTACCTAAAAGCTGGGAGAGTGAACTGCTTCCATATCTCAATATGAAGGTTTGGCATAATTATAGGACTTAATCCTTAACAAAAAGTTCAGCTTACACTCCTCCATCATAAAGTGCTACAGGTCAAAATTATATTCAGGTTAAATTTTCTTAACCTCCTCTGTCTCCTAGCCCTTAAAATTCATTAATTATTAGGGCTAGGGTCAAAGAAATTGTGATTCAAACTACAACGGTAGATTGTTGAGACATGTCCTCAAAATAATGGGGTAGCTTTGGAGAACAAAACAATCCTCACCCCTCCCCCTCCCCTCCATTCAAAGTTGGGATGTTTGTTGTCTTCTACAGGCACAGTAGCTTGAACAGTGGTCCAACATTGCATGGAGGGGTGGGGGACAGAGGAAACACTTTATTTTCCCTTTTTAAGGTGGCAAAATGTCAGAGGCCTCTTAGGGCAAAGTTCCTGTGAACTTATTTTGTCACCGATTATAGGCTTAAAATTTTAAACCTCAATTTAATTTTGACCAGTAACAAAAACATTTGTTTACAGGCAAACCTTGCAGACTGAGGCAGTTTTGAAAATGAGAATTTCCTTCGCTGCATCATTGGTGAAAGAACAGGTGAATATGGCGTGCTGGGAGACAGCTGCTGAAACTCACTCAGGCATGGATACTTGGCACATAGCAAAGCATTCTTATACACTTCAAATGAAGCATCCTGTAAGGACATTAATCCAGAATAATGGAAATTAAGTTAAAATCTTCTAGTTGCTAATATAGACCAAATGCAGTTGTTTTCATATGAGAGTGTTTAATGTATTTCAGTGGTTTTAATAGCCGGTAAATGTACATACCTTTTCAGACAATAGACTTCCGCTTGTATAGGAACTGCTTTCAGAAGATGTTCCTGCAACGATCACATAACTATTATATTCAAGAATTAATCATTGTTTGAAGAATTGGCATGCTATGATTGGTCAGAAAAAAATCACTATTTCCAAGTGACTTGTAGACATGGTGCATAGCAATGTTTTTTTGTTGAGACAGTTACACATGAATGCACCAATTTCATTACCTTCATAGATCCTAAATAATCTTTTTTTACCAATGATACAAATAGCATTGTTACTTGAAGAACCAGGATTAAAGTTACAAAAAGTAAAAACTTCAAGTTATTTTTTTATTCTTTTTTAGTAAAGGTTCTGAAATATGAATTGCATGTTAGCTTCTTCAGTATTTCCCACCCTAACACTCTTCTGTTTAATGGCTAAAAGCATTTTCAGACTGACAAAGAAACAAAGCATGAAGTTATTCACCAAAAGGATTTAAAAACAAAGGAGATCAAAGGGGACTCAGCTGCTTGCAGGGGTAACAAATCATTAGACAGCCATTAAAACAGTTCTGTATTTAAATTAACAGATTATCCATTTAACAGGAAATGGTTAAAGTACGAAGTCATGGAGAAAGTCACAAAAAAGATGTATCGAAAGTATTAGGATACATACAAGAATTTAATAGCTTAAAATGCAATTCACCATTTTCACAGCAACCATAATGCACCTTGTTTTACCCCCCCCCCCCCCCCCCCCCCCCCCCAGCCCCCGAGATCTTGCATTACTATTGTTTTTGAATTCTTGAGACAACTGTGGTACCCAGGAGAACTTGGCAACAATGCTTATGCCAATTTTTTTCTTGGGGCGAGGGGGGTAAACAAGGTGCATTATGGTCTATGTGAAGATGGTGAATCCAAAAATTAAGGTCATTTTTATTGCATACATACACCCTGTATGTGTTAATTTTGAAAAGCATTACTCATTCATAATTCATACCAGGGGAACTAATCATTGAATCTGATAATCCTCTTGGGTCAAAACGTTCTTCACTAGAAACCTACAAAACAAAGATAATGAAAAGAGATTCCTCGTTCCAAAAAGAATGCCAACAAAATTAAAGATAATAGCTGCAAGACAAATTTTGCGACATTATAATTACATCTGTACTGCAGTGTATCTGTTGCAGTTTGATTTTATCCTTGTTTTAAATTTTGTTTCTTTCGTTTCAAACACATTAACTCATTACCATGCATTACCATACCTGAAACAAAAGGAAATACAATTTATACCAAAGATAAATTGAACCACAACAAAAAAAGTTATGCAGGGCTTGCAAAAACTTGGATACCAGCTTGTTCTTTGACCCTTACACTTCTACAACATGAAACTTAATCACCTCCCTGCATAAACTGGTGCAATGATTGGCACACTACTTAATAATATGCTGGTAATAAAAGAGTAAATATGACTCTCACCACTTTCATCTGTGAGGATGGCCTGTCAGTAGTTGGTTTATTTGTTGTGGCCTTGAGGCAGTAGTGACTTGGTCTAAAATAAGACAAATTTAATACATTTCAGAGGGGCCTGATCATTCAAATCCCAAGTCAAATGGAGGTCCAGGTTTGAAAATAGTATTTCTTTGCCCTGGTATCCTCAATTTGGCCCATAAATAAAGTGAGGCTCAAGGCCCCAGGCATCCAGGCCCTTTCCCTTGATCCACCACTATGTTACAGCATGAGCACTGTTTGAGAGGTTCAAAGAGTAATATCATTGTCATGACGACTGAAGATTTTTCCTTGAAAATACTATTTCTTTGCCCTGCGATCCTTGGTTTGGCCCATAAATAAAGTGGGGCTCAGGGTCCCCGGGTGTCCATGCCCCTTCACTACATCAACCACTGTGTAATTGCCAGTGGGCGATGTTTGAGAAGTTGAAACAATATTATTATAGTCATGCTGACTGAAGATTTTTCCTTGTAAATAACATTTTTCTTTTTCCTGTGATCCTTAGTTTGGCCCATGAAAAATGTGAGGTCCAGGCTTCCAGGCTCCTTCCCTAGATCCACCAGTGAGAGTGCTTGGGCATTGTTTGAGAGGCTCATATCTTATCATGCCCACTGAAGATTTTCTTTTAATGCTTCACAAGTGACATGATGCTGATTACCATGTCTTTCACATACAAACATTCCAATAGTAAGAAAGAGTACTAATGAAGTTCCATTGCATCCAGTCTCAAAGGGTATCCTCCAAGGAATAGCAGCAGTCATGATTACTGCACAATAAAAAGTGTCATACATGTAGCTACAGTGACCAAAATGTTAATTATTAATTCCTTGAGAGCATTCTTATCATTAGCTCTTTGTGTTTGTATAATTCCTTTATCCTTTTATTATTCCATAAATGGACAGCAAGAAATGCCTGCCTCCTCACAGTGTAAGGTTACCATACCATTACCGTGTGGCTTCAGATCAATATTTGCACTTAACTGAGTAACTGAGATTGGGAATATACATGTGCAAAATGCAGCTAATAACACCCTTACTGTATGTCAGTGAAGCCCAAGAGGTCTGATCATTTAAAGAAACTGTTAGAGAATGTACATGTATCAATAATCTAACATCCTTGATGGAGTCATTTTTTTACCCTTTTCCCTCTGTAACTATAACGCTAGAGAAGGGTAAAATATAAAACTTATAGCTATTGCATTTTTTTTCTTCCACATTTATTACCTAAAATGTCTTGCCAATGTCTTGGAAATGGCATTTCCAAGACCCTAAAGTGACAAATTTCCCAAGGGAACATGAAGTCCTTTTTCTTCCTGTGAGTTCACTGACACAATCTCACGCTATGCCCTGATTATCATACACTAACATTCTCAAAAAAAGGAACAAGTAAGCTTAGGATAAAATTAAATCTACAGTATGTGTACTTACTCAAAATCAAGGAATCTGTTTTGAATTTCGTCAATACAACATCCATGTCTGAAACAAGCATACAAGAATAACTGCTAAATTACTACATAACGGTAAGTTGCTTTATTGTCCTTAACAACCTTGATGCAAAACACAGTGGAACCCTAGAGCTCTACAGATAACCACTAAATAATTGGACACCTTATTAAAAGTTTCATCTTTCCCAATGATAGAGAAGGTCATAACTTTTGCTCTAAAATCAACTCACTTAATATAATACAGACACCAGACACTTTTCTGCGTCCTGAGTCACAAGAGTTTGGTCGCTTTATGAGCCAAATGAGAGCCCTTGTCAGAGGGTCTCAATGAGGTTATATCAATAATAATTATTAAAGATGCATTTGTGACTATTTTTTTCTGAGATCCTGCTTAAAATGGACACTATGGCATTTACAGTATCCTTGGTGTCCTCTTTCCTGGGTGTCACCATAGAGTGTTTTCACATGACATCACGGCAGCCATATTGGTGTCCCAAACCAGTCCTGTGGGAGATAAAACTTTTTTCTTATGCAAACGCTTTCTTTTGTGCCAACAAATTTGCATAGATGCTGGCTACATGAGTGAAAACACTCTACATGGTGAACTGAAAATCATAAAGGAAGCAACTTGAAATGGACTCCTAATCTGAGTTGGTCCCTGCTGTTGAATAGTAATACTTTGACTCTCTTTAAGGAGACAACCTCCATTGAATAGGTATTAGCCACCTTTAGTTGGCAGTGAGTAGGAACCACTTGCATAATATATGTACAGGTAGATCATATGCGTAGCGCTATTTAAACTGTTGAAAAAGTTATTAACCAATGTTGAGTTTACTACTTCCGGAATGGTTGCAAGAAGGGGCGACTTTCTTGAAAATGTAGCCGACTAAATCGACCAATAACAGCTAAAGAAACTTGTATTTATTGGTGGCTTCCCAAGAAACAGCCGTTAGCCTATAAACCACACAAAACTGCTGAAATCTAAATCAAAACAAGCTGATTTGTTTCGTAACAATAACACAATTTAAAAGCATGCAAGCAGCAACACAAGTAGAGTAGTATGCAACCAAATGAGGCTTGAAGGATCAGGGCGCAAAAAGTCTTAACAAAGGAAAATAAGATATGCCATTACCTCAATAAATCGGAGCCAGAATCACCAGAGAAAAGTTGCTGTCTTCTGTCCTCATCTGAACCCAGATTCTGGTCGTGCTCCGCTGAGTTTACTGGAGAGATGCTCGCCAGCCATCTTCTCTTCTCCGCCTCTAGCAGCAAAGACAGCAGCAATTCGATCTGGTCTTGGGGAACCAGATCTTTTTCAGACTTCCAAGCGCAAGTGTCCACCATTCAGGTCTTCATAGTTCACTGGATTTCAGATTTCCTTTCTCGAGAAATGCAAGAAACAGTCATCATCTCGTTTCACTTTGCAAATAAGACTGCCGTGAAGGACTGGTAACCAATAATACCCAGTTCCCCAAATTCCCGGAAGAAGACTTGCCCGTCACGCAACGCTCTTTCGTTCTTCCTGTTACGGGTTATTGGTTGCAGCCTTGCAAATGTGTCCATCGGTCCCCGATCCAAAAAAATTACATCAGAACAAATCAAATCAAGTTGCTTTCCAAGGATTACTTTTTTTTCTCTGTTTCCACTCCATGGACCAGAAGTTTGTGATGGAGTTCGTTATTCATCACATGATTTAGCATGTAAACAGCGCGTGACCTTGAAGTTGAACAGACGTTGGGCAGACATGGTCACAATATAATTTTAAAAAGGCCGGACAATCACGAGTACATTTTCATCCCGGGCGTGGGGGGGGGGGACTCCGCATACGAAACGGGTGGAGATGCTCGTTGTCTCGCTTAGGGGTGTAAATTTTGGATTTTTAGGGTGTTCTGGGTAAAACACGATCATATTTTGCCGTGACGATCTCGTTTTGGGTTGCACGCGAAAAAAAGATAGAAATATATATTTCATATGTATTTTTTTATTTGTTTTATTTACTCCATTCATACAATCCAAGTATTCGATGATAATGTCTTTGCCATCATTAAAAGTCACTGTATTTTTCATTTGTCTGTGTTTTAACGTGATCTCTTTTAGGGGTCAAAAAAGCTTGGGCCACGCCCAGATTAGTCTCCTTTAGGGGTTTAATTCAAAATTTCCGACGAGCATCTCCACCCCCTTCATATGCGGAGTCCCCCCCCCGGGATTTTCATAGCCTCTAATCGTCTCTTGAACGTCGCTTTACTTTGCAATAATCATGGGTTCTTTTTGAAAACGGTGTTGTTAAACAGCTCGCCCCGGACATATAATACGTTGTTCATAAAGCGTGAGGCCAAGACGTCAAAAAGCAATCAAGCAAGCAGTCTTTCAAAGCATAAACTATAAAAAGAGCAATCCCGACTGATAAAAAAGAACCTTTTTTACTCTAATTGACTAATGGAATATTCCAGTCAAATCACCCATAATACACTTTAATTTAGACAAATCCTCTTGCAGCAACTAGACCTCCCCTAAGTATTTTGGGGGCAATTCCCGATCTAACCTATGCCACTGATATTAATATTTCTTTACTATTTAAATCTCGATCTACACATCAAAGACCTGTTTTCGCATTGACTATAATGGCCAAAGTCGTTCTTGCTAGAGACTACAAAGCAGTTGGTGTTTTTCTCTTAAAATTGGGTTTGCAAGGCGCGTAGCGTCTGCCTGATATTTTCGGTGGTTCTCAAAGAAAAACGTATCTCCCCCAGTCTTGCTCTGCGTTTCACCCTCACTCCATGCCAGACCTTTTCTTTTACCGCTCGCGTGCGCGCTTTCTTAACCTAGGCCAAAATAGGGGCTGCTTGGCAGTCTAGTTTCTAGCTCAACAAGTCAGAAGCAAGTTTACTTAACAATATTTTATTTCTAAAAAATTACAGAAAATATAATACTTTTTTGCGTTATTATATCTACATTTGAATTTTATAAAATTATAATATAATAGATATTTACTCCAGGACTATTAATACTGGAAATTTTACTAAGCTGTTACAAATGATTTATTTAAATCGCTGTGGCCTAGCGTTATATCATAACTTAAGCAAATAGGGCTCTAATCGCAATCATGTCGAGCACAACGGTTTAGCCAACGAAATAAGCTGAAAAAAAGCAAAACAGTAAAAAACAGAAACAGTAAACAGTTATTGCATGACCTTTTAATAATCAAGGTCTCGGTGAGTGTTATCAGCCGAGCCTGAGGCCTAGTTCAGACGCGGTACTTTTCATGTGCCGAACCTAACTGATTAAGTTCGACTTTGGAGCGACACTGGCGTAACATTTGATTCAGATGATGTATCGTGTGTCGAACCTAAGTTAAGTTCGACAAAAGTTCGACAGACTCTGTCGAACTTAACGCTTTTGCCGCACCAAACTAAAACTGCCGTACCAAAGTGATTCAGACGCCTCTCTTTTGCCGCACGTAATTAATCCGAGTTAGGTTCGGCGCATCAGTGGAGCGGCGTCTGAACCGGGCCTAAGGCCTAGGCTGATAACACTTACCGAGACCTTCATTATTCCGGATATCACAAAAACCGAATCTAAAAATTGTCAAAATAAAGAAAATTTCCAAATTTGGTGCTGTGAACAAAACTGTAACAAACAGTACCATGGTGAAAGTGCTATTAAAGAGGTTTCCTTTGAGTGGTCATAACACAAAAGACTCAACGCAGAACTGAACGATAGAACCAGTTCATACATCAAGCGAGAGAACGAGATTCTCCCTTTAGTTTTGTCAATTAGAGAGCTTAAGCAACGACGACGGCGACGGCAACGAGAACGGCAAAAAAGCAATAGGTTTAAACCAACAACTTTGCACGTGCATCACGTTTTTTGTACATTTCTCAGCCGTCGTTACACGGCTACATGCAACGTGAAACTTCCTAAATGCGTTTTGTCGAAGACGGTAACACAAAACAACAAATTTATTTTTCTTTTCCTGAACTTTGATACCGTCCTTTAGAATTCAACTCCAAAAAAATTTGCCAACATTTGACGAATTAAACGAGATGGGATAAGCGCGAAAAAGTTTGAGGCAGAGCGAATTCACTTTTTAAGTGTCGTTCTCGAAATCGTTGCCGTCATCGTTGCTTAAGCTCCCTAATGGCGCCTGCCAGTGAGGCTTCGCCACTCCACTGACAACTGAAAAAGGGATCAACTGCTAAAAGATCAAAGTGCCGTACACCCTACCCCTTAAAGTCCCAGGGGTGACCACCATCAATTTTCTCCTAACTGAGATCCGTACACCATCAAGAGGAAACGTTATGAGAATTAATAAAATGATCACCAAAGTGAATTTTGTTTAGATTTCTTATCAAATTCTCTGAACGCAGCCTATTCCCTAGACGTTCTCTCTTGCCCCGTTGTCCGCGCAAAGTCTGGGAGTATCTATTGGTAACGTCACAGCCCACGGTAGAGTCCAGGAATGACCGAGCCGAGAACGCCTAGGGACTAGGCTGCTCTGAACGAATTCCTTAAGGAAATCTATTAATACCAGTCTGGAGAATTTGTATGTGGATATTGCGGGTTAAGGGGTTACTCACCCGCTGATGAACGTCAAGCTAGGCTTCTTGAAGCGACGCACTACGTTGAAGAAGAATTAAATTGGCCCCCAGTAGAAAAATAGAAATTAATTAGAAGTACCACTCTGGCATTTAAATGTATGTCGAGCTCAGCACCGGATTATCTTACGTCTAAATTTACTCAACGATTTAACATCAGTGGGCGAGAAACTAGAAACTCACAATCGCTAGATATTCCCTTATTTAAATTGGCGAGTGACCAGAGAAGCTTCTATCACAGAACAATGAAGATATTGAACTCATTGGACAATGAATTAAAATTAAGGAAAGATGTTTTAAGCTTCAAAGGAAAGCTCAAAAGTAAGCTACTTTGCTCGGCATAGAACTTTATAAACGATGTTTCTTGTATTTCATGTATGATCTTATATAGTGATTAATTTTCAGCACTTACATAATTTTGCCAATCAACTTTTTATATATTTTCTGTCCTCCATTTTGGTTGTAATTGTACTTTTTGTAATTATCTTTGAAAAGCCTTGTTAAAGGAAAGATAATAAAGGATGTATGTATGAATGTATGCAACACTAATGTCGGTAAATGGAATTTGAGGATAGTTAAAACTTGACATAAATTGCGTTCTACGAAATGAAATTAAAAGATTATTTTGGAATTAAATTATCAGTGCTTCAGTAAGGATGTAACTTGTACAGATCCATCTACAGATCCAGTGAGACACGTATAACAACTCATGGAAGAGCTCCAGTCCACACTCACGACTGGTGACTTGTGTTCTGGTAATGACAACACTTGATAAGGGCCTTGATTCTTCTCCACCTGTAACGAGCGAATAGCATCACGTTAGGCCATTCGAAATGTCCTAAAATCCACGCTAATGAGAATCATGTTTCATGAAAGACATCACCAAGTGTCCCCTAGCCCCAAGCTCCGAAATAAGCGCATTTCTGGACATAAGTGAATCGTTTGTAATAGGAATAATCTACCTGGGTCTATTGTCGCGGTGCGGTGGCGGTCGGAAGATTTAACCGGTTCAGGAGTACGCTTAAACGTTTCCTTATTAATATGCATTAATCCCTCAACTATTGGTTTCGTTGCACATAAGTTATTTCGTATCATGCTTGACCCTCACTGCATCTGACAAGTATCATAACTTACGGCAAAATTATGTTTCATCACATTCCGTAATTTACTTTTTGTAGCGAATCAAACACGGATTCAGGAGCGATATTAGTGTGTGATAACGAAAAATCCAAGATGTGCACTTGCTATTTCAATTTTCTTGGCAGGCAATATGTAGGATGTTTGTCTCATAAACCTACAATCCTCGTCAAAAATCCTTGAAACACCTATGCACGACCCTTTCCCTGTGCAGCAACATTGCCAAAGGGTGGAGGGGGGCGGGGGGACTGAAAGGGAGCAAAATTTTCCAAAGTGTTTTCAGGTTTTTGTCTGAGATTGTAGGTTGGCGGCCTTAGCTCCCAAAAGTCTCCTGTAACTTAGTGGTAGAGGATCTGGACTTATTAACCACGCGCCGGTTTTTCAAACGCTGGATCCAGCTGATTAATATTAGGGAAACCAATAGCGCCGTCCAGGGGATAGCGTTATCAACGTTTTGAACAACTGGGGCCTGAGGGTCATAGGTTCGACTCCTGTTGGCGCACCAAACAATTTATGACTGGTCCAGAGGGAAACAAAATTAACTGTTTCCCTAGGGACCAGTCATTTCCTGAGGGAACAGTCATTAAGTGATTAGTGATATGGCTGGAAATTCTGACGCTGGAAATTCATTTAACCTCGCTGTAACGGCGGTCGTCAGTCAACATTCGCGGGTAACAGTGCAGTGTTACCCTCTGACGTCAAAGATTTTGCAATGTTGTCCGCTCAGAGATTTTTTGATGGGAAACAGTTTCATTGTTAGATGTCATGTGACCTCGAAGAAACCAATGAGAGCGCGCGCTGTTGGGAAAAAATTTCCGGCTATAAACAATTGGATTTATTCTTCCGAGCCGCCTGGCTCACCGACTGGAAAACACATCTTTCTCGTGTATTCACCAGCACATTTCTATCAACATCAGGAATCTGCACATTAGTTATTAGGTACGCAATTCTTACTTTGTATACAAATCCTCTTTCAGAGCCACAGGTAAGAAGATATTGACCTTCTGCATCAAAAGCGAACATTCTACCATAGGAGGCTGGGGACGACATGTACTTGTATTTACTATGCAAGAGACTGGCTCCCTCAGCCTCACACCAAACGGCTCCTTCGTGAATATCGAGGTCAGCTATCTTCTGTCCCATACGGTGCAGACTCCACTGACAGAACTACAAAAAATAATAAGGCCTGCCACTTATACGAGGTAAAATAAGACGCGTCTTAAGTAACACGCAAACCTCCATATATGGCATAGACGCTTTGTTGTTCTTAGATAAACACGCCTTAGGTAAGACGAAGAAGACCTCGTATAAATGACCTTCGCGTCTCACATGAGACGCGGACGTGAACAAGACACGAACCGCCAACGACGTTTTAAACCTGCGACACGTCCCCTGGGGAGGTTGCAATTTACTGATGTACACGTATGTTGACGTTGCTCTAAACCAACAGTTTGAAAATTCAATTCCCAACTTTGAGACCTTTTCGGGTAAAAAATTACATTTAAACACAGGGGCACCCAACGGCAATTTTCGGGAAAATATCTGTTCGGAAGACGATTTGAGATCTAGAATTTTCGGAGCATTTGTTGTAAAATTTCTTGCTTGCCTGCCTCTCCTAGGATTTTCGAACATCTATTACAAAATGGTATAATTACTCATTTTTAACGGATTTTGACCCTAAAAAAGGCCACCTAGAATTTTCGGGAGCCTTTTCCTGGCTGAAATTTTCGAGAAGGTAAGTTTTTATCCCTATAATTTTCGGATCATTAGATTTTCAGCTAAGAAATCCGAACAGATGAAAAGTTTTTAGGGGATAAAAATATGCCTATATCTACCGTTTGAATGCTAAAATACGTTCAACAATGCTATGTTAAGTAGTTTTGAACTATATCCTCGTTGGGTGCCCCTGTAAACAGTATTGCCTGTCAGTGCAGAAAAGAAGATTTAGAGGGTTAGTCATAAAGACAAAGAGGAAAACTACGAGAAAACACGTTATCACAATGGATCATGATCAGCGCGTTTTCTTTAAGGGAACCAACACAAAATTACAATAAGGCCCTGTCCACACTAATGCGTTTTCATCGTCATCGAAACGCATCGATCGATTCTCGTTCGCGTCCTACCGTTTTGATGCGTTTTCAACTGTCCGCACAGAAAAAGGTTCGAATACGATAGAATTGCACGTTGTAAAGTGAGTTGAACTCTATGCGCATGCTACAAACACACGCACCGGCGATATTTTCGTTCTTCGCTTTCATTTTGATGCTTTTCCGACCGTTTTCGACCATCTACACTAACATGATACGTATGTGCTTTTGTTTTGATCCACTTTCAAGAGCGTTTTTACTGAAATGCTCAGCGAATAAGTGTGGACAGGAGGTTTAAACGCATCGAAATATATGAGTTTCAAACGAGAACGCAGTGGTGCGGACAGGGCTGGCCAAAGTATCAGAATCAAGATAAGTACACCAAAGGATATACCTTGCCGTCTGTACCCATACTGTAAGCTGTAGTCTCATCTGCACTGAACTGCATCGAACACACCTCACCCTCATGAGCTTGCCAACCAATTAAACAGTCAAACGATCTCATATCTATGAAAAAATACACACAATACTGACTAGACCTGGTCCCAGTTGTTCCAAGGCTGATTAGCGGTTAACCCTGGGTTAAATTTAACCCGGGTTTCTTTTTTTGTTGTTCAAAAGTATTTTCTCAGATAGTTTTCCCTGTTATTTTTAAGAGCATTCAATCGTCAACTGGTTGATGAAAAGAGTTAAACTGAATTTGCTTTTTAAGCTTTCATAACTGAATTCAATTTTCGCACTAACTCTAGGTTATCTTAACTCAGCTTTGAACAACCCGGCCCTGTTTAAATATCAAACCCAACGGCTTAACCCTTCCGCTCCAGGACCTGTAATGGAGAGATTATTCGACACTGTAACTTTTACAGCGGTGAAAAAAAATCCCATAGTGTTTCCATTCAAATGAAAACTCTTTAGAAGAGCTTTTTTATAGTACTATTTTATTGTATGGATTTTACGATGAGAAATTTGAATTTTATTGTGAATTGAACTACTGAGTTTGAATGGATATTCAACTTACCAAAGAGGCGTATCATGCCATCAGCTCCCCCGGATATGCATAGTGTTCCATTGTGGTTAAATGCTGTGCAGTTTATACAAGTAGCCACTGGCTCTAAAGGAAGCTGACGCTAAAATGCACATACAAAAACAAATAAAAACTCTCCAGTTTTCGCGGATCCTAGCATCGCGCAGGACATAACGTAGGAGGGACCTTGGTTGTTTGCCATTGATTTTATAACGTTGGTGATTGATTTACGTTGCGAGTTAATGGTACGGAAACAAAGTACAGGACTGGTAAATTCCGTCCCTGAAAATCCATAAATCAGTCCCCTGTACGGCCAAAAACGCCCGAAAACTGCCACCAGTGATGGATTTGGAAAAATGTAACATGAATTTCCGTTTACAACATTGCCTTTAGAAAAATGGGACTGTCTTCACAGACGTTACTTTTGTTCACGAAATTTTCCATTGGATTGGAACGACCCCAAAATCGTGTTTCATTTACTTTCCAAAACGGAAATCCCGGGAAATTTTTGTAAATGGTAAACTTGCGTAAACAACCTTCGATAAATGGCCTACTTCACCAAGAGTTTCCTGTAGTTTAGTTGGTAGACAACTGACCAAGGGGCTCGCAAGTTGGGATCCCCCGCGGGAAAGTTGGGATCCCTGTAGGCAGAAAAGGCGGGAATGTTGGGGTCCTGGGGCCATGTTTCTCGAATGCCCAGCAATATTTCGGGCTCGAATGCAAATTTTAAAATCATAACCCCTTGAATATAGCACAGTTACTACAATGAGGGTCAAAAGTGTTAAAATGGCCCCTTTTGCACCCCCTTCCCCTGTAGCATGCGAGAAAGCTCTCCATTTGGGCGTGCAAAGCCAGCCACGCGAGCGAGCGGCGAAGCCGCGAGGGGTGTCACTCACGTGCCACTCGCGCGTGTACTTTTCCTGATTTCCTCCAAATGGAGAGCTTGCTCGCAGGCTACTTCCCCTGTGTACCCCCACCCCCTCCCACCAAAATCAATGTTGTATTTGAGACCCTCAAATCATTCTTTTACTACAAACAACATTGATTCGGGGATTAGGGGATTTACGGCGATTAAATAGAATGAAATAATAAATGAATGAAATTGTTGAAAAAAGCGCGGGTCTTCGATAAGTGTGTCAACTACTTTTGCCCTTGATCGTAGCTCACAAAGCAGTCAATTTTTCTTCCTTAACTGATAGTTTCATTGTAACGTATTCAAAATCATTGAAACTTTGACCTTGAATGCAAACACGGCAAACATAAAACAGCTTTACGAGCCCGAAAAGTTACCGAGACTTCTGAGACACAGCCCCAAGGTCGGATCCCAGGCAGGAAAACTTGGATCTCTGAGGGGAAAGTTGTCATTTTTGAGGTCGGGAGAGTAGCCTACTCCAGGCTCCGAGATAGTAGGGTCCGCTGAATTGAGAGAGCGCGAACCCGCCCCGCCAAATTTTCGCGTGCCTTTCACTATCGCGTCGTCCACACTATCTGGGAACTTGGAACAGGCTAGGAAAAGCTTGGATCCCAATGAGGACAGATAGGATCCCTGTTGGGTGTGTTGAAAACCAGTTGTGGTGTAGTTGGGATTGCTGGTGGGAGAGGATAGTCAGGATTCCAAGTAGTATTAGATTTCAGGATTGAAAATCTGGTAGGACAAAAGGGAAGATACCTCAACTTTCATGGCCTTCATATCCCAACACTGCAGAACACCAGTGATGAAGTTTGAGCTACTGCTGGTAGATGTCAAAATACTGGACATGTCACTGAGCTTGGTCTGGGATAACCTCAGTGGTGATATGGTAGACTTCTTACTCGCTGCCGCTGAGCATACAAAGGCAGCTCCAGTAGGACTGCACGTCAGTGACACTATTCTGAAAAACAATGGAACATAACTCAGCCACTTGATTGCAAAATTCTCTGATATAAACTAAATCTGAATTTCAGATTGAATTATGGCTTTATAATAATAGCTAGTTAAGTCAGCCACTCTGCCCAGAACGGGAATCAATATATTTTCTCCTAGTGCCTTCATTGTTAAGCCGTATTTCCTATCAAAATTGTTTGTTCAACCGTTTTTCTTGACAAAAAGTAACAAATTTCTATGTTACCAGGGCTGATTAAAATATATTTTTTTTACTGGCAATGGAATGTTGTACACGGACTTTTTTTTGCATTTTGATCACAAAAATGGGAAATAACCTGCTGAAGTTATGATCTTTATATAATCATAAGGTGCAGGACAAATTATTTCTATGGAGGATCATGCGTAACAACCGGTTTCGCTACTTGCTTCGCTACTTCCTAGTTCGTAACAAATTTGCTACATATTACTTTCTGCAAAGTACTGAATCCCTCTAGAAAAAAAATTTTTTTAAATATATTTCTCGTTCTTTTAAGCTTGCCCCTCCGAGGGTGCAAGTTTTTGGACTTTACGAATATGTAGGTAGCGAACTTGAACGTAGCGAATTTGACAAGTTGCGAGACCGTTGTAAAGCGATCATGCAGAGACGATGAAATTTCCCTCTTTGGGACACACTTTCTAAGAACTTTACAAAGTTAGCCTAGGACCAGGTTCCACAGTTGAGGAAAAAAGGCGAAAACAAAACGCGAGCCGAGCGGTAATCTTTATGCCTTTTCACTCCGTTTCTAGCCATTTTTATACCCACAGCTGAGCCTGGTCGTACAAATGCTATAGAAAGTCCTTAGTAGTCGCACGGTTTTGTTCCTTCCTTGTTTCTCTCACTTTAGGGTTACTGACAAAACTTTTACTTTGTATTATAATAACAACTCAACTTGGTGCCAAATCTCAAAGACTAAGTGTTTATTGAGGTTCAATAATCATTGTACCCTTGGTTTCAGCTTCAAATTTTTCTTTGTTATTCCGTTAATGTGGGGGACAGTAAAATAAAATTCAAACCAGAAGAACGTATACACCAACAACTTGGAAAGAATTTACCTTTCCCCAGTATATTATAATGATGGTCATAAAGTCAAATCAAGTCATACCAAGTTTATTGCACACTATTCACAGAAATACAGTAAAAGACGGTTTACGATATAAATAAATCAATAAGCAGACTAAGACTTAGTAAGATACACAAATTTGACACTTTTGTGTTGGTCAACTGAAGAGTATAACCCTTAACCCTTACCTGGGATATTGGGAGTCTGTTGAAACATCGCATATGACCTTTTTGTTTTCTGTGTCATAGAATCGAACTTTACCATTTCCAGTACCTAAAAGAAGCTGGCAACAAAAACAGAAGATTTGAGTTGACAAATTGTGACCATGATAAAACAAAACTCAAGTCTGTCTCCTGAGAGAGATTAATGCTGGTAAGTGTTGATTCAAACACCTTCAAACAAAGCTATTGAATCTGAAGTACATTCATACAGTATGCCTGTTACCCAGATTGTGTTGGCATCCTTGTTGGAAAGAAAATTGAGGATTGTTTGAACTGCCTGGTTTTCTTTTAAAATGCTAATGAGTAGCTGGGAAATGTTTAAACAGTTTTTAGTGAGTAAAAGTCAAAGATTTTAAACTTTGGGATATCATGGGAGGATGATTATTCATGAATTCTTTAGAAACACCACATTGCATGATGATGACGAAAACAATGATAACAATTACAATGATGTACATTTAATTATCTTACCAGTCTGTCTGGTTTAGGAGCCCACTCCAGCGATAACAGAGGAGATTTTGACATTATAGTTGCATGTGTCTGAATATCAGGATGATGTGTCCAAACTCTGAAAACAATATCCGTGTAACAATAAGGAAATCAAAACTCCACCTATCTGTCCAATGGGTAGTGGTCTCCAGAAATTATGTACAGCAAAAAAACTGAATACTGTACATTCATTAAACCTGACGTAGAAACATTGCTCAACGCTCAATTTCACCTTAGCTGGATAAATCCATCGCTAGCTATCATTGCATGCCCATTAAACTTTGTCTCCGACCATAACAACAGCATAAATAGAACTCAGGGAAAATATAGCCATCCGGAGCTTATGCTTGGCAAATAATGCAGTATCAGTGCTTTTGGCTTTCCCAACAATAGGATTATTCCTTCAGGATCTGGTTGTTCAAATATTGGATCAAGCCTTATCCACCAGATAAATAACTATCACGTGGATAAGCATTATAGAGAGACAAATGCATTTTCCAATGGATAGTCTTACCCACCTTTTGAACAACAGGGACCAGGGGCCCATTTCTCGAACGTCCCGGAAACTTTTCGGGCCTGAAATCAAATATTCAAATCGAAATATAAAGAATAAGAGCGTGGGTCCTGGCAGGCAAACTACTACCATTTTGATTCATTAACTGATAGTTTTATCATGTTAGATTCAAAGCTATTGAAACCTCATTCTTTAATGTAAATAGAGACAGCATACCGGGCCCATCAATTTTCGAGACTTTCGAGAAATGGAACCCAGGTGTTTTGCTTCTTGGTTTTCACCATCTTATGTTAAAATTGAGAATTATTACAATAATGGCAAATGAATAACACCTCTTACTTTACAATTCCGTCTGCATCAGCACTTCCAATCATTCTTCCACTTGAAGAAAACCGACAATGAACAATAGGTGAATGGTGCTCTCTGTATTCATCCTGTTAAAACAATAAATTACAATATTAAAAGACAAAAACTAATCTGAACCTTTAGCATCCAATTTACCACTGTCTTAATGTTGGTGTCTGAACTCTTGAATGCATTATGGTTGCTATAGATGGTGAGCAGCCGCAAGGTTTCTTTTCCTATTACATTTCTTTAATGGGGAGAAAAGGAAAAACTGTGGAATAGAATCCGAAGTGACAACCAACCTAACATCAAATGGTCCCTTTGATTTACAAGCACATATATATGAAACTAAGTGGAAGGAGCAGAATTTAGCAGTTATAGTCAGAAATCACTTCAGGCTTTATTCCAGGCACCTCTTCAAAATCAGGAGTACAGTCAGCTCTTGCCTTGCGGACACCCCGCTATAACAGACACCCTGATAATACAGACAGTAGCTAAATCCCGGGCCAAAATAAATTACAGACGTTTGACCTGAAATAAACTCCTGCTATTGGGGACTCTTGTTAATGAGGACACTAACTGGAGGTCCCTACAGTGTCCGCTATAAAGGGAAATGACTTTAGTCAAATCAAGCAAGTGGTAAGCACTAGCAGCTGCTGCAAAGTTGCATAATTATCACCACCTATTTTACTCACTGGTATGACAAGGAAAAGGAGAATGCTTCCAGTCTGTTGTTGCAACAGAAACATTTAACTTGTGTTAATAAAACCAGACCAAAATTCTTACAAGAACAATACCTGACTGAGAAAAATAAAAGGCTTGGGCTTGTGTTCATTAGAACCTGAAAATGGAGAGTGTTGACAGGTTAGTTCATGACCAACAACAATATTAGAAACCTAAATAGTATGCAGCACTTAACTGAAAACCTGTTCCCCATAAATCAAAAGTTTGACTAATAAAGTTAAAATAAGAAATTGACAAACACGTTTTTCAGTGGAAATTTTCACAAATGAGGGACAGTCCTACATGTTGTTATAATTATTATGCAAGGAGTGTATGTGCAAAATGAAGGACTTAAACTACCCTCTTCATCCTCTTCTACCAACACCCTTAGATGATACCTGCCCCAACAGTCTAAGGCACAAATCGGACCAGCTGTACTTTTGTAAATATGTTACTACTCGTAGAACGAAGCGCACTGAAGACTTTTTCACTTTCAAGTATTTTTAACAAATATGATGCATATTCTGATGTGGTGAATATAGTTTTAACTAACAAGACATGGGTAACTTTATTAAGTTTTCATTGTACTATAACTCTTTAATTCATTAAGTTACTCCAAGAGAGTTTAATAAACTGTTTTTATTCTTCTTATTATTTTATTATTCAAGTGCTGATCGATGTCCCTATATGATGGTTCCAATTATAGCAAAGTGCAGTCTGATCACAGTACCTGCATATAGTTAAACATTTTTAAAATAGGGAAGACAATGTAAATCACTTCACTAATCATGGCAAATACCTTCACAATGAGCCATTTGGGGGTTTAAATCATCTAAAAATGGAGCAAAAGATAAATTTTGTGACATTCATAATGCTATAAATGTACACAATTTCAGACGTGATCAACAGGCTGGGTGACCTATCTGTGGATGTACTAAAGTGTACCTTAGAATGTTTTGTTCACTATACATAGCAAGGATGGTGCAGTGGTGAGAAATAGCCTCCCACCAAGGTGGACTGGGTACACAACTGGCAGGCCACGCCTTGCTCTGACTGGTTTTTCTCCACATACTCCAGTTTTCCCTCTCCCAATTTCATCAAAAATGGGTAAATAAAGTTGTTGTTAGTGTTTTCATTGGATTTGGAAAAAAATACAGAACAATTATACATAAATGTTAGAATGTTTTTCAAAAAAATTAACATTATTGTATTTCAGGTGTCATTTTCAAAAAGTGTTGGAAGCTTAACACAGCTAGTTCTCAAAATCTTAGCCGGATTTTCAGAATGGTATTACTAGATCATGATGTTTTAGTTTCGGGGGGAATTTGTTGGCAGCTATATATGTAACACCCTTAAACTCTGGGTTTTTTTTTCTTGTTTAAAATTTGGATTAATTCCTGCTCTTTGTAAAATAGGGTAGGGTTTGGGATATCAAAGCAATCTGCAAAATTTGTTCAGTTTTTTTTTCTAGAATCATGAATATGCAAAAATTAGTAAGGATAAGGAAATTGAGCTTATCTATGTTCTAACCACCTGTTTTATCATCTATCTCATCAGTAGGAGACGTCTTAATTCTTGCTGGTAAAGTTTTGCTCCTACGAATGGAATAACCTGACTTCTCTCCATCTTCTTGGCTAACGTCACAGCGCTCTAAGCTTTGGGATTTTGCAAGCACAGACTTTGAGGTCTTAGTATCTTCCTCTTCCTGAAGCGAGCTGGTCTGCTTTTCAGTTTCTGGGGGTTTGTCAGAAAGTACAGTTGAATTTAATTGCTCCTCCTCCAGCAAGGTTAGGTGTTTCTGTTGTTCCTGTAACAGCTATCAAATTCAATGATCAGATTATAACACAGATGAGTGAGATCAAGGGGCTATGATTGGGGGGGGGGGGGGGGCCATTTGTTTGGGGGGGCGTTTTAAAAATTTTTTTTGGTTTGGGGGGGGTTTTTTAGGTAAGAGAGAGTTACTATACCGTGGGGGGGGGGCGGGGGGGGTTGAAAAGAATTGTGGTAAGAGGTAAGAATTGTGGTGGTGTGGGGGGGTAGGGGTGGGGGGGGGGGTTGATGGGTGTGTGTGTGGTGGTTATGTTGCTGTTTGTTTTTGGTGTGGGGGGTGTATTTGAAAAGAGAAAGAATGGTGGTGGGGGGGGGGGGGGGGGTGGGGCATTTTAACAAATTTCATGAAAGTGGTACAAAGCAGTATTAATAAGCATCTATCAGGAATTGAACGTAACAGCCATTAATAGTAAACACCATCTGTAGATAAAGTACGTGGTGACCTTCGGCATGATTTGTAGTCATATTGTAGAATATTAGTAGTTTCCACGGTAATCAGGAGGGGGTCACTTTTCACAATTATATGTACAATTTATGAGGGGTCATCTCTGAAAGGCTACGATAAAATTGGGGGGTTGATTTGAAAATCTTTGGAGCTTTCTCCAAATGGCCAGCCGTTTTTTAAGGGCTTTTCAAGGACCACCTACATGTACAATGTATCAGGAATGTAATATTATAAATTTTACAGAAATGCATATTCCCACTTCAATCTAACAGGACTTTAACGCTTGAAGTGCTTACTCCACTAACTCCTCTACATTATTTATTCAGTACACTTATTGATAGTTAATTATTGCATAAAACAAAAAACGCTTTATGTAAATCACCTTTAAGTTCTCTGAGCTATGATTTATATTCTGCCTCGGACAACCAAAAAGCATTAAAAATCACTTTTCAGCATACTTCAGTCAATGTTGAAGAAAATTCAAGGACTTGCACAGAAATTTGAGGAACCTTCAAGGGAAAATGGAATTCAAATACTTTTCAAGGACTTCCCCTAAAATTCAAGGACTTTTCAAGACTGTGCAAACCTTGCCCCCTCCCCCCCCCCCTACTCACAGGTAATACACAGCCCCCCTAGGGTATCTGAAAGATGTATCCAAACATCATTTTATATTTTTTATATTGTTTCATCTTTTTTCGACGTTAAGAACCTCTCATGTGATGTCTGTGAGGGGAGCTTCCTCTATAAAAATTATCATTATCATTAACTGCACCATCATTCATTATACTCATAAACAAGTCTCCTTGGGATTGCATATTTTTCTCCTACTTTCAATAGGGTGTCATGTTTTGGTTTTTGGACTTGAAAAGGCTGCCAAGCATTATTCACTTGAAATAGCTATTAGGGTTAGAGAACCTTAACTGCACACAGACAAACAAAATTGAATGGAGTGTCTCCTCAGCAACTCCAGATTCTTTCTTTCTGGTGATAGGTTCTTACCTGTATCTGTTGTTGTTGTTGCCTGAGAAGCTGCTGTTTGTTTATTTTAGACTGTGTATTTTCTCCCTGGACCTGCTGTTGTGGCTGTTGCTGTTGTTGTTTTGGATCTTTTCCTTTCTTGTTCTTGTCCTGCTTGTCTTTAAAGATCATCTTTGAAAGCTTCTTTTGCATGGTAGGCAGAAATTTTTGTGGCCTGTGAAAGGTAGAAAGCAACATTACATTCCATTCAATAAACTGCTCACTGCATTTCCATGAACAAAGGCGCCACTTTAAGACTTCAGCTGACATCATGCTTTGGATAAAAACGACCTCCAAGGCTCAACTTAAAACTAGCTGAAATTCCAAATTTAACTGCACAGGAAACTTGACCAGTAATAATCATTATAACAATATAAGCCTCACGTTTCACTTCTTTTCATTGACTTTTCAAGACACCACTGCATGAAACAGCATTTTTTTGCATATGTTAGCAGAAAAGATTGAAAAACATTACAGAACAATGTTTGTCATGTCAAAACAAGTCAGCCTGTCAAAAAAAACCTCGATCTGGCCAAAAAATGAAAATTGACAAAACGTAACACATCCTTTTTGCAGGAAACCCTTTAATTACCAGTAATTACCTGTTAACGACCTCGAACTCATCCAAATCCTCCTCTTCCACAGTATCAGTTCTGTTTCTCTGCGTCTCAGTTAGCTCCTGCTCAAGCTTAGACTTCTGACGTTGCAATTGCGCTGCTTCTTCTGCCAGGGCTACAACCTGTTCTTTGAGCTTCAAAACCTCCTGTTGTAATCGTTGCAGCTTCCCACGCTCCTCGTCATACTTAAGAATTGTTGGCATGGGTGATCGTTGTTAAGAATACACAACCAAAAATAGATCATAGTTTCCCATTCAAAGCTAGTGGAAGAGGTGACATATTTTTAATGAAGAATGGATTCAGGTACAATATACATTGTACATTGCATATCTGAAGTATATTCTGAAAGTTTTGAAGCTACATTTTAAGCTTGCAAACCACAATATTGTGTTTAAAAAAATGTAAAACAATTTAGGGGCAACTTAATATTGTTTTAAAAACTTAAAAAATTGAAGTTGTCACTGTTACAGAACATTACAGGAGGCCAAAAGACCTCTTTAGCTTGTACAGTTTGTATGTTTTGTTTTCCCAATAGAGGTCCCAGGAGAACTTAACGCTTTGTCTTCTCATAATTTATGGGTGGATATGCATGTGAATAAGACAAAGTTTGAAAACAAAACATACTTAGCTAAAGAGTTCTATTCTGTCAGGAGGTGGTGTGGCTAACGCCAATAAGAAAATCTTACCAAAAATGGGCTATTATAATAAGGTTTGGTTCTAGCATCATTCAAGCTCCTGTTCTTCCCTTCCCTCTGAAATACCAAGGGTAAAGGAAATTTTTGATGAGAAAGGAAAAGTTGGTTGCGAGGACAGTTTCAATTCCTTCTAATTTTTGAATCATTATTACATTATTACTTGATAATAATGATTTTGTCAATATGCAGTACGTGTACATGCCCGCGTAGCCTCATATTTGTGTAGCCTGAATTGAGAACCACTAATTTCTCGTGCTGGTAACTCGCATGGAGAAAGAACTGCGCTTTTGTGAGGGATAAAGATCAGGATTTTGATTCAGTATATACCAGACAACTGTCTGGTTACAAATTCCTCATAATTGATAAAGGATATGCATGTGATGGAACAATGTTATCAGAAAGTTGTAGAGAGAAAGAAAAAATGTATCTTGCCAGGCTCTCTGAAAGTACATCTCAAATGCAACATTCTGCTCTGGATTCTTGATGAAAGGAATAGCTGAAAACAAAAAAAAAACCTTTTCAATTCAAACAGCAAACCAATAAGAAACCGCTGCCTGGTTAGCTCAGTTGGGAGAGTGCCCGTCCGCTGAGGCGGGATTGTCACGGGGTTCAAACCCAGGCTGGACCAACACTCAGGGTCTTTAAATAACTGAGAAGAAAGTGTTGCAAATGGTTATACTTTCTAGTCTTCTCATATAAGGACAAAAAAGCAGAGGTCCTGTCTCACAGCACTTTCACTTATCTGGTTCTTATGGGATGTAAAAGAACCCACACCACTGTTGGAAAAGAGTCGGGGACATAGACACTGGTGGTGTGGCCAACCTTTCTTGGCTGGCTGGGTTATCTGTAAGGAGAGTTCTTAATATAAAGATAACCTTAGGTGTCGTTATGGCTAGCTAGCTGGAAAGAGTGTATGTGTATGTTTGTACTTACATGGCTGCCTGAAATGAACAAGTGGATAGGTGCATTTAAAATTTCCCTAAGTCTGGTTGTGTGCCTTAGCACAAAATTATACCCCTTAAAAAGACTGCTGCCAGAATACAAAGGAAAACACCTAACAATTTGGTTATATCTATTATACATGTAAATGCAATACTATAATTTCCTCTTGGGTATATTGTTAAAAAACTTGCAAATTTATCAGAAAAAAATAATTTAAACACCAGGAAAACAACATACCAAACCATTCTCTCCACTCTGTTTGTGTCTGTAACTCTGCAGTATACTTCTCAAAAAACTCTACAACTTTATCATTTTTGGAGTTTTGTAGAGCATGAACAATGTAGAGTCTTAGAAGACACATTTCCAGCTTTTTGACATTTGAATAATGTTGATAGTCCAGTCTTTTGAAGAATCTGTCATTTAAATAGTCCCAATAGTCTCTAAGACCCAAAATGTCATAGGCTAAAATGTACTGATACAACTGATCCACTATTTTGTCCACCTGAAAGTTATTAAGCATAAAAAACATATTAGCAGGATCTCTGTAATATTACTGTAAGTACTACAAAATAACAAAACAACATCATTTTCATACTCACTGTCTAAGTAAACTACATGTACAAAAAAAATTAGATTATTGTTCAATTTGCAAGCCATAACTTACTGTCCAGACCAAAACCTATAATTTCAAAAGCAAATGCCCATTTTGCAGCTCTAAATCTTTTGGCAAAAAAAAGGATTTAAGAAAGTGCCCATACATGTACCTCTGTAAGACCCCAAATACAAGGACTTTGATGTTGACTTGAGAACAAAAGCTGATGAAGAAATTGAATCATAATGTCACCGAAGAACCAAAGAAGAGGATTCTAATCGGTGATCGAGAATTTTATTACAGGTTATAGTTATTAAAGTAGACTAGAATGGACTGACAGGGATTCAAGACATTTTGCGAAAGAAAAATAAACAATTCCTTTGACAAATGAAATTAACATACATACTGGCACTTGCTGATCTTGACAAGCTTCGTTGCCATTTACAGTGTTTAATCAAAGACTAATGAAAGAAAGAAGGAAGTGAATTCAAGCTACACACAGTATCCAGTTTTCAAAATACTCCAATGTTACATTGGTGAGCTAAAACTTACAGTGCTCTTAGTTTGACAGTCGAATCGGGGCTGTTATTAAGAGCCGAGGACTTCCCCCAGCTATTATGAACGTGGCCCCCGACTACTTTCATAGGAAAATAGAATAAAAATAGAACCAAAAGAAATCCCTAGCTGTTTGATTCCCTGCCTACTTATTGTATTTACCCGGCAACTTGAAATCCTAGTGACATCCCTGCGAATGAGCCATTTCGACATGGCGCATTTACAGTTTGATTTCATTCTCAATGGTAATATCATGTCTCTTCGTGAGCCAAGAAATACTTTTTTTTTGTGATGCCTGTCAAATTACTGTCAAATCTCTCAAGTCCTGCACTTGTTTCCTGTTCTCCCGAACCGGAAGACTCTGTAAATTACAGATCCTAGTTTTTTCCGTCGATTAATGGCCCGCACCCTTTGGAATTGGGACATAAATCGACGGGAAAAAACTTGGTCCGTATTTTACGGTATATACGTATCTCAAACTCGGCTAATACGAGGTACATGTATTTGAGGTAAGATTTCCTTACAGCCCCGTACATTTGATTATGCATGCAGCAATCGTGTACCATATTTATGGGTCTGTACAGAAACTTACCATACAAATGTTTTAAGTCTACTATCTATTATTTAACTTACTGCATGAAATCCTTCGCATGTACTGGGCATTTTTGTATTCCTGAACAACTGACAGCTTAGATCTGATCAGCTGACAGCGCTCACATGACACAAAGAGTTAGGAATATTATTTTGCTCTATAATACTAAAGAAAAACAACCTACCCTAAAGCTCTTGTCCTTGTCTGCTTTTAGATCTGATTCAAAACTCTTTAAAGTGCTTGAAAACCCACGAAATACGAGGTATTCCTTGATTATATCGTCCAACATTGGCACGGCCGCGGCAGCCATATTGTTTACTTTTGCTCCAGTTTCGGCCTTGCACCAGTTCCTGCTCTTTGGTTATCCGATGAGAAAAATCACAGGGGACCCCTAGATGGAATGCTTGTTCGACTTTCTCGCAGTGTTGCGGTTCGTTATTCACTTTTTTTTTTATTTATTTGTTATTTCTTTATTTATTTATTGAAAATGGGAAAGAAAAAAAAAGTAGTGATCCTCCCTATCAATAAGTAGGAGAGATTATTTTTGCCACCTCCGGGTAGTTCATAGGATCTTCAGTAGGTAGGTATGGGGACGGAAGGGTTTGTGCGCGACTTTGTGCGCGACAACTGTCGTCCGTGGCGAGGAAAGTTAAGAAAGACAAGAAAGGAAAAGAGGGAAACAGCTCGAGAATGGAAGCTCACGAAGTTGCTCCTGATGTCGTAGATGTAGCTCCTGCTGACGTTATTAAGGTAAAATTCACTCAAATTGTACAGAGAGGCGGTTATCAGCTTCTGAACGGCAGAAGTCAGCTGCAAAACTGCGTCTGCAGAAGAATAAAAGCTTTATGGTCCACGCTATATTGTTATATTTCATTAGGGTTTTAGGATGTAAAATATGCGTACGCTGACGTCCAAATGCTGTTTTGAGAAAACAGATTTACGATGGCGTTGAGTGTTAAACTGTTGAGTGTAGGAAGGGACACAATTAGTGCACGTTCACTTTTAACGGAAACCGCACCCGAGGGGGAAGGGGTGGGGCGCATCTCATGTGAACCATTTTTTGGACCACTTGGGGGTGTTGGTATTATATGCTCATCACTAGAGTTTATAGTCTCCTTCACAGCCACTCCTGCCGGAGTCTTGTAATGTTGTCATGAAGCTTTCAACATACATTGTAGTTGAATAAGTCATCAAAGAGAGCAAAACAATAATGTTGACAACAGGTTTGTGTGTTAGCACTCAGGTAGTGATGTAGCAATCTTAATAGATCTTGTTCTGTCTTTCATGTGCTTATAGGTGAAGTATGGAGACCTGGAAGTGAACATGGGGAATGTACTGAAACCATCTCAGGTAAATATATGAAGGAAACAAAATGGGAAATATAGCCTAAAGAACTACCAAGCTAGTAATTCATTTCCCCACCTACCCACCTACTAATTACATAATTATACCCGGCAACTTGAAATCTTAGACTACACTCACACGCTACCGGTCAAGTTTTTGAGCGATTGAAAAATTTAACGGGACACTTTGTTTACACAGAACAATTCAGTATCTTTCTGCTGTTCACACGGGACTGTCGAACCGTAATATTATTTTCCAAGTAAAATGAGTAATAACACAACTGATGAATCCCATGCTAGCGATATCTGTTTACAATTCAGCGGTGTAACCACGCATCCATGCAACCACGCCTTTGCCGTACTGTACAAAAATTTAGCTGGGTACAGTGTTCACACCTTGCTATTCAAATTTTTGACCATATTGGTAAAAAATTGACCTCGATTTTAGCGTTCAAATTTTTGAATGTCTAGGCATTCAAATTTTCATACGGTTAGCTTGCTTCCATGTGAACGGAACACCTAAATGTACGAATCATTGACCAGTCAAAAATTTGACGGGTACCTTGTGAACGTATTGTCAGTGACAGCCCTCAGGTGATAAATTTTAATTCTTTGAATGGCTTTAAGGAGAAAACAACAAATATCTTTAAAACTACAAACAGATGCACTTGTTCCCCGTGCTTTTTTATGGGCCTTAAACACCAATTAGTGTTTTACAAATATTGTGTCCTCAGTTGTGTGTATAAATTGTCCAATCCTTTAATAATTGTTATATGGTTTATTTTAATTTTTAAAGCAGGAGCGCTTAATTTATTTGACAGTTCATGGTCATCTTGGCTTAAATTTTGTTTTAGGTGAAAAATGCTCCCACATCCATCTCCTGGCCTGTTGAAGAAGGTGCATTTTACACTCTTTTGATGACAGGTAAGGTGTTCTTTGAAAGAGGTTAAAAAAGAACATGCAAATTTATGTGAAATGAAATAATTTATATTTTTTGGTGAGTGGGCGAGTGATGTCGTTTATGTGGACTGACCCTCTACATGGTGAGACACATAAACACCTTAGAGAGTGGGTCCTAATTTTATGCATGGGTTACTGGTATATTAAGTACTTGGTGTAAATTCATTTCCATTGTTTTCTACTGTCCTTAATAGGTTGAGTGTGATTGTCCGGGTGAACGTAGTCCTTAATAGGACTGTTGTTGTTGACAGTGACTGACATTTCGACAACCTATGCAGTAGCAATCTTCAGAGTCAAAAGGGTCCTGCCGCACAGGTTGTGGAATAGTCAGTTACTGTCAACAACAACAGTCCTATTCAGGACTACATTCACTCGGACGATCATACTCAACCTACTTATGAAATGACTTCCTAGGTTCAAAACTTTCACCGATTGTCCTTTATGTTGTCTAGCACTGTGATATGTGGTTTATGATAGACAGACTAATTTCAAAGACTTCACGTTTTAAGAATGCTATTATACACATATTTTAAAAGTGCATTCATGCCTGTGTGGCTATGCTTACATTTTTGAGTTACGTTTACCGTGAAGGTTTGGTCAACATAACTTAAGGCGAGATGACTTGGGCTAACTTGACTGACTTGACTGAGTAACTCTTGTCTGTGTTGACAGACCCTGACGCTCCAAGCCGTCACCATCCTAAGTTCCATGAATGGCACCATTGGCTTGTGGTAAATATCCCAGGGTGTGATGTAAGCGAAGGAGAGGTGAAGCTTGACTATGTTGGGAGCGGCCCACCCAAAGGAACCAAGCTTCACCGCTACATATTTTTGGCATACAAACAGCCCGGCAAGATTACCTACACTGATGTTGTTGTGTGCAGCAAGTGAGTATAATCAAAGAAAGAATATCGTCAACTCGTGGGTACGTTGCTTAGAAAATAATCAAGTAGTTATCACCTCTGGTTTTCCCACAGTGAATTTTAGGAAATGATAGAAATTCAGATTATAAATATACTATCCTTGTTCTGGAAACACAATACTTTTCTTGCTGTTTATTGCACTTAAGTAACAGTTATTTAAGTATATATTTAAAAACAAAAAAACAAAAAAAACAGCAAAACAAATAGGCAAACAAGACAAAACAAAAAAAGAAAAAAAAAAGGGAAGAAAGGAAAAAGAAGATCCTCAGCAGAATTTGAACCCGGTACTTTCGGGCTGACACGACCTCACATAGCCACTACGCCATTGAGGATGGTCACGTGAATTGATGAAAAGTCTCATTTTTAATGCCTTTTCCATGGAACTTCCCCCAGCAAACGACCGGGGCAAACGATCGAGCCATACTTAACCGATTGAAAAAACGACTCGAAGGGCGCGATCCATTCAACCAAAATTTCCGGAAATTTCGGTCCAAAACTCAATGGATCGGTTCGGTCCAACCGGAAAAGTTTCGAAAAAACGGGTCCACCTTTTGAGGTGGTCCTCTTTTCCCGGTCGGACCGGTCTGAATTTTGGTTGAATGGATCGCGCCCGAAGCAATCGGATGAAATTAAGGCTAATTGAAACCAGGCTACTGACAGTAAAAAACAATGTAAACGCATTTCATGGCAATGAAAGAACATAAGCGATACAAAGCCGACACAAATCCTCCGCGAAGTAGGATGCAAAACATTACCTTATGTTTTCTTATCTCGACTTCTGCTGTTATTTTAAAGGTAATGCTCAAACTCACATCCATTTCCCCCCGTGATCTTGGGGAGTCCTTAAGAAGAAGAAGAAAAAGAAGTGCCTTTATTTACCATACATTTCACCAGTCCGTATTTTATAGTCCGTATTTTATACCCAGTCCGCAGTCCATAGTCCGCAGTCCGTGTTTTATACTGACCGCCATAAATTCATTCATACACATAACCTACTACACTACTACAAGGTAGGAGATCAAGCCAGCGTCGAAGTTGAAGGAGTCGAAGAGAAAATGCTCATCTTCTCGTCAAGTTTAACGCCTGGACGGATCAAAGGCTTTTGAATCGTACTAATTTGAAAGATTCCTGCGTGTCTTAAATTTGGTAAGACCTCTATCCTAACCGTGCTGTAGCGCACGATGCACGCTTTCAGCGAGGAATTGATGCTACCGAACTTCGGCGAGCGCGTGCTTCTTTGGAAACGATAGATCTTCGCGCTCTCGAGTACGGACCCGATTAATTACGAAGTGCGTCTACTACGAGTGAGCGAGTGACTCATTTGCATATCTCAGTCCCTGCAATAACTCGTGGTACGCTCGCGCGTACCCACGAGTTAAAAAGGGTGCTTAAGCAGCTACTACGGCGACAGCAACAAGTACGGCAAAAAAGCAATAGGTCTAAAATAAATTGGTAAAACAACAACTTTGCACGTGCATCACACTTTTTTGTACATTTCTTTGCCATTGTTGCACGACCCCGACGGGAAACTTCCTCATTTCACGGAGTCTTATTCTCGGCTTGCACTGTCACGCAATGAAAAATAAAAATGCAAACCATTCAATATAGAAGGACTAGAATCTGGGAAATGAAAAAAGATAAATATACAAAAACCCTTGCCAAGAATTAGGTCTGTGAAATATTTCAAATGCGAGATATTGGGAAAAAAGGTTTACCTAAATTTATAAAGCTTTGTATGGAAACGCCATGTTGGTGTCCCTTTCAGGAACACCAATATGGCCGCCGGATACCAACAGAAACATCTGTTTTCGAGTTTTCCTACTAATGCGTGAATTCTTCGCTTGAGGAACTCATAAAGATTACAGTAATATTTATTCTGAGACAAGGAATGTTTAGATTGCAAAATCTCCCAAAATCGGTAATGTTTTTAACCCACATAAGAGCTTTCCCGGCCGCCAGCTAAATGCCGCGTCACGCAAAAGCCTGGAAATTCAAGCGTCCTCTCTCGCAAAACGAAGAACCCTTTCGAACCAAAAACTTGATTATGTAAAGATGTTTAGGTGCTGTAATACCTCGTGAAAGTAGAAACTCAGAAGA